TTCGGGTATATTACTTACAGACCAAACTCTTGTCCATCATCCAGCTTTTCAGTCAAATGACATGTAACTGATCTAGTTAAATACTGTATATGCCAGTTTATTGCACATAGTTTCTAATATTTTTGCATGCATGCTTACTGTGTCGCGTGGTGGTGGAGCAGAATTTAGTCACGTTTGCGGGGAGAATCGGCTGGCGGTAAGATTTTGAGCCATTTGGTTTGGTTTGTAGTTACTCACAAACCACCACTGCAACAGCCAAGAGATGTCATAGTATTGGAAAGCCGAGCATCAGCGTCGGTACCTTAAAAGGTTTTCCATCATTCGGAAAAATAAATCCACTATACAAACACCCCACCCGAGGTGCCTGGTAATGCAGGCCCACATCGGGTGAAAATAAGATGGCACAATGGCCACGCAGCGGATATGGAAAGAGAGTTTTATGTGGCCTGCCTCTGCAAACCACAGATAAGGCACAAGGATCAACCCAGTCAGCTCGAAGTTTCTAGTAAAAATAAAACGTCTTTGTCCACCCTCACGATATACTGTGAGATCACGTGAAGGCGTGAGGGTGTCGTTTTTCACAGCGCTCTGAGAGTGATGGGAGAGCTGCGTTCACCCCAGAGGGTTTCCTGCTGCTCTGCTTTCCAGGTTCTTGGGGCGTGCAGAGAGACTAGCCTACTGCAGGCATGGCTGCACTTTATTTTAAGGGAGCGCACACTTGAGTTTGAACTTGCAGAGAGGGGCTGGTGTTGAGGTGGCCGCGTTTCCTTACTGCAGCCGACTCTTCCTCTCGGGTCTGAGGTGTGGGGGAGGTGGGGGGGGGCGGCCCAGCTTTGATCAAGGTTCTTGCTGAGGAAGCGCGTCGCGGCCCCTCTCGAAGGCTGAGAAGGCCGAGGTCAGAGCGCGCGGATGAGTGGAGGAGAGGGGGCTCCGGGGGGGGCTGCCCCCCCGAGGCTGCACTCCTCCTGGCTGGAGCGCCGTCGCTTCCCGATGCTCCTGGGGGAGAAAACTAGTCGGCCCGCGTCCGCGCGCGTCCGACACGAAGGCCTGTTGCGCCAGCCTGCCTTGGCTGGGAGCTGGCGAGAGTGAGCCGCTCTGCAGAGGAAACCGAAGCTCGTCTGAGCAGTCGCCTTCTAAAAGCTGCTGGGGACTATTTAAAAAACAAACTAAGAAGTAGTTTTCGCGCGCATTGAGAAATACCATCCCGCGCTTTTATTAGTGCAAGTGAGGTGGTTTCGTTTCTGTGTCCTTGTATGCCAAAAGCAGGTAGAAACTAGAGCACAAAACTGGAAGACATTGGTAGGCGTTGATAACTACAGTTTATTCCCCAGCTGCTCCCTCTGTTTCTTGCTGTACACCAAGGAGAAAGTTTTCACGAAGAGGATGCGTGGTCCGTTGCAGGTTGTATCTTCCAGTCGGATCTGCTGCACTGGAGGAAGTGGCGGAGCCTGGTTTCCAGTGGCGTCCGAGGCCGTAGTTTCACCCTCCTTCGGACCGGTCTTCCGTTGGGAAGCCGCCTGGACACCCAGAGTTAACTTCGGCCGCGTTTCTGCTGAGCTGAAAAGACTTCTCAGAGGAGGTGTAGCTGTGTGTCGGTCGTGCTGTGGGCTCTGGTGGGAAAACGCTGAAATGGAAAAACGACTGGTATTAATTACACCACAAACAGGGCCAGCGGTGAGCTGTGTCAGTTCTGCTTTGGCAGCAGCCTGGATGGGGTTGGGGCGCTTGTGTGAGCATGGATTTTCAGCCGAGGATCTTGTCCTTAATGAGCCAGTCAGGGTAATGAGACACTGTTTTTGTGTGGACTGGGGGTTAGGGGGTTCCAGTCCCAGGGAGAGCCAGGGCTGCTGTCCCCCTGAGTGAGCTGTGTTGCCCAGACTACTGCAGCCACCCCAGCTGTTGCTGGGTTCCCCAGTGTGTGTGCGTGATAGCAGGCAGCCGAAACCACTGTACGTCGGGGTTGAAAAGGGCTTTGGCCAGGCAAAAATGAGACGCATGGAATAAATGGAGTATTTAGTTGTCTGGGCTTTGGACAGCAATGCTGAACTGTCACCTTTAGTATGTTAATCAGGCATTTTCTTTTGTCACAAGTGAAAAATGGAGAAAATGATTCTCTTTTTTGATGATGAAAGCCAGTGTGTTTACACTTACAAGAGTCTTGCAGTTCCGTGTGTTCTTGTGTGATGGATAAAACTTGCCGATGGAGCAGCCTGGAGTTTTCAGCTCGAGCAAAAAATTCAGCAGCTGTGCTTGTTGTACAAAACGACCCGTGCGCTGTTGGCGCATTTTGATCCCAACATCAGTAGGCTTTATCGGTAGGACTACCATGGGATGATAGGTTAGCTGGAGTACTCGGAACCGGGTCTCAGTTCAAGCGTTAAGACTGCTCCTCTAGTCCACGCCTGGTTCTGGAAACCAAACAGCGCTGCAGGCTTTCCACACCCGGTTTTGACCCAGATAAACGGGTTTAGTGTTCTTGACTTACTTACAGAAGGGTGTCTTAACGTGAAGCCCCTCCACGTACATGCCACAACTGTGGCCAGACTGCAGTGTATTGAACTTCCGTACACTTGATTTGTAAAGGGCTGTTTGAAGAAATAAACGGCGTAAAAAATAATTTTATGGGATTCTGTTATTTTAAAGAGGGGAAAAAAGGAAAAAGGTTGTAATCTGCAACGTCTTTTTAATTCCTCAGAGACTTCTGTGACCAAATTCTTTCTGTAGTTATAAATTAGGCCTAAAGTAACGCAAAGTGAGTCTCTTTATCACAATGTGAATGAATGAGACTCTGCTTTATTAAAAATTAACTTCTATTTTTTGCCAACTTATTAACTCCACTGGTGTATTAATTCATGGATGTATCTTACACTTTGTAACTCCCGTTAGAAACATGTCACAACTTGTCAAAAATCTGTCCTGCCCTGGACACACAAGTAGTGGCAAAAGTGAGCTTGTTGGCGAGTTCGATTTAGTTGGAATTTAGTTTAAACCGCGCAGTCTAAGCAACGCAATGCGTCATACTGAATATAACGTCGGTATAGTTAGTGAACCACGGATTCGGCCCCCTGTAAGCGAGAAGAGATCTGCAGCTGCCCTGTATGTGTCCAGAAGGCCAACGTTAGTAGGTTTCAGGAAGGCTGAGCCATGGTAGTGTTTTTAAAAAGGTGCCCCTTGTGTGTTTTAAGCTGCGGTTTTCATTGCGTTGCAAATTGAAGATCGTCTACTTGAATGAGCAGACGCGCTTGGACTGGCGTTGCGCTCCTGGTGGGTGGGGAGGGAGGAGGGCGAGACGGGGCTGCACAGCTTTTTACGTTCCCGGGCGCCGCGCCCTCTTGCGGAGAGCCAGCCTTTCCGTGCTTGTGGCCCCTGCTCTCGTGAAAGTCCGCGC